AAAAAAAAAAAAAAAAAAAAAAAAGAAGAATGGAAATAACAGAGCAGCCTGAAAGTGATAACGAAATAAAAGTTCACTATGTTTCGGATGTGGTTCATCCTCACCAAAACTCCATGGCCATGCAGAGAGGCCCGTCTAAGAGGTGCTGAAGTCTTGGAGAGACAGCTGCGCAGGGAACAGAACAGCTTGGGGCAGGAAGGCTTCACCAGTCCTGCTCACCCTCCTCTCTCCCATGTGGTAAACCCTCACCAGATGTAGCTCCCCACCCCTATTACCAGCATCCACAGCTATTAACCAGAATAAATTTCTACTGCTTACAAAGCTCCCAATCTCAAAGACTATTACAGCAACAGTGAACAGATGAAGAAAGGTTCAAACTCGATTTAAGAAATGCAAAGGCATAAATCTCAGGAGGGAAGTATCTGTACCTATGAGGGTGGGAAACTTGTCAACAGTCATGGGGGTAAAAAGAAAGCTGCATCATCACCTTTGAGATTCCACAGCAAGTGGGCTAGGAGTAACTGCCATTTAAAACTCTTGGGGGCAAATGGCTTGAAGAGAGCATCAACTAAGGTAAGACTGTAGGCAACATGAAGGGTTAGGATGCAGGGGAGTTTACAGAAGGGCAGAGAAAGATGTCACAAAAGCAGTGTCAGGAAGTGGAAAACACATGTGAACATAGCTGGCTAGATTTACTTCTAAATGTTTAACCAAGTGACAGTTATCAAACCCAAGCTATCCACATGTAACTTTTTAATGACACTGAAAGATGTAAGGGCTGGCTGTAGTGGTCCAAGGTCAGTTAAGGGCCCATCCTAAGACCTACCACTTGCATTCTTCCAGCTCTGTGTTTCAGTAGCTGTGGAAACTCCTATACCCAGTATTGGACGAAGCACTAAAGTTTATGTGGGCACAAAAAAACCCACATCAAACAGAGCCACAGGGAGATTTTCTCCAGTAATTTCATCCACATACTCTCATCCAGACTTCAGAATGTCTATTCCATTAACTGGTTAATAGTCTCACTTTTTCCTCTTCTAAAAACACAGGATTTTATAAAGATTAGGGTGGATGAGAACTAATCTAGTAACAGCACAATAAACGCCAGGTACAGATCTCCCTCCATGAGAACATATAAAAGTCAATAGGTCTGTGCAACACAGTTTGTTTAGTTTTTACTGGGTGGGTATTATTTGTTGTACTCTGGATTAAATCTGGAGCCTTCTCACTAAGCTACATATTGTCCTTTTATTTTTTATTTTGAGACAGTGTCTTATTAAGTCTCTAAATTACCCAGGCTGGGCTTCAATTTGCAATCCTTCTGCCTCAGCCTCCCAGGGTGGTGGGATTACAGGCATGTAACACCATACCTGAGTCTAAGAGCTTTAGTAAAGAACTAGTAACTTTCCAAAAGATTTACCTAAGCAACCTCTGAGATTCACTGCCTGCCTTAGTCTATTTTCATTACTGTAATAAGATTCCTGAAGCTGGCATTTACAAAAAGGTTTATTTGGCTCAGTTGGGAGACTAAAGTGCAAGACTGATTTAGGTTCTGGTGAGGTGCTAATGACAGATGTCAAAAGACAGAAATCACAAGGCCAGAATGGAAGCCAGAGAGTGATACATGCTCAGGCTTACTCTTCTAACTCGCTCTCACAAGCAGTACAACTTGGTCTCACAAGGATTACCATGATCACTTCCAAGGACAGTACCCCACTAGCCAAAGGACCTCTCTCTAGGCCCCTTCTCTTAAAAGTCCATCACACACCCCAAGATCCCACACTGAGAACTAAGCCTCCAACACACAAACCCTTCAGGGACCAAGTCAAATCACATCTCATTTCCCTGTACCACAAAAAAAAAAAAAAAAAAAAACATTTCAACCAAATTCCACACTACCAAAATAAAGGGCAAGTTCCATGAAAATTTAAGCTTTCCCAGTTAGCAGCAACTAAGATGGACTCTTACATACACATTTAGGAACTGTGGAAACAGTGGTCTCATATCACACTTTTGAGGTTTTGCCACGGGCAGTCACCAACTGAGACACCCATACCTCCCTACCCAGTCTGGCCAACATGTCCAGACTGGCACAAAGGTCTGTGATCAGATATAAAGAAATGGAAAATAAAAACTCTCCTACACTGTTATACTTTCTAAAATGTACTTTCCGAAAAATGTATTTGGTACAGGGTCTTGCTATGCAAGTTAAGACTTATAGTAATCCTACTGTCTCATTCTCTCCAGTGCTGGGATTATAGGTGTGCACCACCACACCTGGTTCTGGGATAAGCATAGCACGCCCCGGGGTTCTAGGGCCAGAGTGCCATATAGTATCAGAAATTGAACGCAGGTCCTTGCACCTGTCAGGCAGGTGCTCAGACCACCAAGCTATTTCCCCAACCCCATAAAATGTACTTTTATATACTGAATCTATTAATAAAAATGTGGCTTGTATTTTTATGTTTTTAAATCCTCTTTTCTGAGCAGGATTACTGTGAGTTCAAGGCCAGCCTAACCTGCATCCTGAGGTCAGGAGGGAGTTGTGAGTGGTGGGAAAATGTGTTGAGTGCAGAGATACTGGCTAAATGAGCAAGAAAATCATGAAAATTGAAGAGATATTTATAGACTAAATTGTACAGAAATAAGTGCAAAACAAATTCTTTAAGAGTACTAAATGAAAAGGCTTTTCTAAAAAGTAGATAATTAGCACTTCATTCACAAAAACTTGTTTTACAGCCTTCCTATCAAACATTCTGGACTTCTAAAATGAAAACATTAACTACAATTATCAAAAACCAAGTGAGTGATTACATCAAGGTATGTTCTTGGAAATACTAGGTAAATCTGCCCATCCCAATGATAGCACAGCTTGCCATGTTTAAAAACTGACAGAAGACAACCACTTCCCAAACAAAATTTACAAAGTGGCTTTTCCACTGTCCCTTTACACAATTGTACATGTATGCTCTTGGTCAGTTTTATGGCTGAGAGAAGCAGCTCTGGACCTGGTGAAACTGTAAAGAATTACATGAGCAAAGGAAGGCTGATGGCACACCTGCAAGTCAAGAAAATAGGAAGGAGTAATTTCCCAACTTAACATGCTTCTACTGAAAAGAAAGTCACACATTGTGGTTTTCACTGAAATGATTTTAACTTACAAAAGTCAGTTGAACTAAACAGTATGTTTAGTGTCATAATAATAAATAGCAATTCTCTTCATTATGTGCTAGTAAAAAAAAAAGAGTATCTTACACGTATAAACATATTAATGAATTAATGTTAAATTGTGGTTAATGAGGGGAAATTTTAAGCATAGAACTAAAGATGTTTAGTCAGATACGGTGGCACATTCAGTAATCTCAGCATTCGGGGAGGCTGAGGCAGGAGGAATGATTGAAAACGAGCAATTTAGTGAGACCCTCTTTCAAAATAAAAAAAAATTCTTTCAAAACCTGGAGATGTAGCTCAGAGAGAAGGCCTTGGGTTCAATTCCCCAGTCTCACCCTTTCTCTCCCCTCCTGTTCCCCTCTTCCCCTACCTTCTCCTCCCCTTCCTCTCTCTCACAAACACACACACAGTTTGATTCTTACTTCTAATTTTTAAAATATGTGAATTAGGTAAACAACTTTTCTAATATCTTCAGTACTTTTAAGGATCTCAATTTCTTACAAAGAAAACAACGGGGGCCGGGGAGATGGCTCAGTGGAATAAGTGCTTCCCTGGCAAGCGCAAAGGACTGAGTTCAATCCCCGGTTCCACCAAAAAAAAAAAAAAAAGAAAGAAAAGAAAACAACGGAACATGCTTTTCAATGGCAGACAAAATTAAAAGGTAAAAACAAAAACAATTTCAGGAAGAGTTCCTACAAGTTATTACAATATATCTTTAAAATGCAATAGAAAAATTAAAACTTAACTTTCAAACCAAATGATAACCACATAAAGGAAATTTAATAGACTCAAATCTACTTCTCACCTAAAATTATTTTAATCATAGAATAAACTGCTGGAATTGCCTACTGCTGAAAAAAATAGATTTGAGACTATCATCACTTGCTTTATTTAGGAAAAATTCAAAATGAAAAACCTGAGTTGGATGAAAATGTTCTTAAGACTTTTTCGTCCATCTCCAACAACATAACACTGTAACAATGGTTTTGTAAATATTATTAACTTGGTGTAAAGTGTGCCTTTATCAGACTTGTCAGAGACTAGTGCTGCATCCAATCCAACCTAAATAAATTAAGAGGCTAGTTCATTTGTTCATTACGGACTTTAAGTATTGACTAAACAGTTTTTGTCCAAATTATATGTTGTGGCTGGGCATCATGGTGCACAGCTGCAATCCCAGCACTTGGGAGGCCGAGACAGGAAGATGGCTGTGAGTTAAGGCCGGCTTGGGCTACAAAATGAGTTCAAGTCCAATTTGGACTGCATAGTGAAAACCTGTCTCACAAAAATGTATATATTGTGTGTTTAATACAAAAAATTATTTTCCTTTTTATTCAAGTACACTTACAGTAATTATATATTACCATATATGTACAGTTGAGAATTCTTTTTTTTATGGCTTCATTGGCTTAGAGTTCTTTTATGAGGGAGAATGGGAGCACAATTCAGAATTATTCCTCTGTAAGACTTTATAGTAAAACATATAAAATTCTCATACGAGAAGACATTTTTAACAAGTCCTTTTGTGCTTTCTCAAATTCCCAAATTAAAGAACCCATCCAGGTATTGCAAAGGACATGCATATATTTACACCAGTAGAAACCTACCAGACCTAAATACTATATTTTGTTCCCTAAAGTAAACTAAGTAAACAGGTAACTCCAGGGAATGTTCTCTTAACAAATCTAGCTTCCCACTTAGAATGCAACATCTTATATGCTAACAGAAAAGTTACACATATTGCCATTTCATATAGTTGTTTACATTTTCACATAATTCTGAGAACATATTTTCATAAAGCATTAAAATTACTGGTGCACTGGCCTCCCTCATCAAACTGTGAGCTCACTGAAGATGGGCTATGCATTTTTCATTTTTATATCCCATGTGCAAATTCTGAAGGTCCCAGTATGCCAGTCCAAAAAGGAGTTTTTTTCTTTCCTTTTTTTTTTTTTTGGCAGAACCAGGAATTAAACTCAGGCCCTTGTGCTTGCTAGGGAAGCGCTTATTCCATGGAGCCATCTCCCCAGCCTGAGATTCTTCATATTGTTGTACCTCTTATATTAAAATTTGTCAGCTTATTAAACTACATGAGCTTATATATTGCATGCTCACTTATTAATATTTTACAAACACATCAGCCTATAATAGACTAGCAACTTCTAAAACTCCCTCTTCCATAGTTTGAGAAATACTTGGGTAGCCTTAAGTAGCTACTTACAGATAAATCCTGAGTTAAATCCTTACTAATTGAGATTCTAATATGTGAAGTAAACTTAAACATTTTTTTTTGTCCTAGGACTTGACCTCAGGACCTCATATTTGCCAGGTAGGCGCTGTGCCACTGAGCTATATCCCTAGGCCAAAATTAAAACTTTTTTTTCCATTTCTTTGTTAACATCTTTTATTAGTGTGGTATATTTGTTACAATTAGTAAGATAATACTGATATATCAAAATTTACGAAGCCCATAGTTTATGATAAGCTTCATTTTTCATTTTCACATTAGACATTGTATTATCTTTTTTTTTTCCAAAGTTTTATTGATAAACAGATAGCAATGAGACAGTTTCAAATCATGTATTATCTTTGCTGAGATCTCTAATATAAATTTTTTATTTAGTTTTTTATTTATTTTTTTCCATAATTTTATTGAGAAACAAATAGCAATGAGACAGTTTCAAGTCAAATTGGTAGGACAGTTTCAATAATTAACACATTGCATACTCTCTTCCTAGTGGTTATTTGCTGTACAAGATGCAGACATGATATCCTATTTACAAACACTATTAGAACAAATCCCTCTATTAAGAGAATG